TGTCATTCTTATCTGTTCTCCACATAACTTTTTAAAGAATCCCTTTGGCTACACATATTATTCACATTGAAAACAAGTCTGGGAGTTTGTTTAGTCCCAAATTACCCGACTTAACGCTACTCTGTATGTAAAATGCCTGAGTAATGGTACAGGGAAATCCTATTTCAGTGCATATTACCAAAGAAGATTCTGATGCTGTCATTGTTATGTGTTTCTGATTAGAGTAAGTATAACTCCTCCAGTGACAATGACTGCATTTAGCACTATGAAGGAATTTTAAAAGCGGATTATTGAGGCAAAGCTCCTAACCTAAGGCCACACTGCTTCTTGGGTCATTTCTCATGAGAATATTGTTTAGTCCCTTGGGGAAGGTTTTTTGGTGAGTTTTTCTTCCATTTGAAGCAACAAGCTGCCTTTTTCCCTTTATCTTCCACCTAAAAAATTCCATACTCCCTACCAAAAACAGCATAATGTGATAGGAACAAGGGTTTTGGTCACTTTAAATCCCAGTTTTAGCACTTACTGAGGACCCTGGGCAAGTTACCTAATTTCTTTATGGGGATTCTTTTCTCCTGAAAAGATTAATACTACCTCTCTCACAAAAGGCTGTAAGGATTAAGACTGATATATGTAAATTACACCACCCTCTCAATCTAGGAGTTTATAGCACCAAAAGGAAATTAAGAGAGATGTAACTTCTCTACTTTCTCTGATGAATGCAATCTTTTAATCTCTTCATCTTTAATCCTGAATATTATTCTGAGTAGGTCTATTAAATAAAATGGTTCATTTTCACAAAATTCCACAGGAGGTTATACTTTGTAAGAAGTCAATTTTGATGTCCTATAGAATTTTTAAAATAAAGCCTTTACAAGATTGATGTATCATAGGCTTTAGTGATTACCTGGTCTAAAAAAAAAAAAGGGGTGGTGGTGGTGATGGCTAACCTGAGCTTTGAGTTATGTTTTACACTTCATAGTAACCACTGGGTAATAATGTCCTAGTTAATATTTAGTGCTGGCCTTGCCAAGGAAAAAAATCTTCCTGGCCCATGTATCAGATCTAACAGGAAACTAGTTTTCTTGCGGAATAATCTGATTTTTTTTAATCAGTATAGTTCAAAATACATGTAGTGGCTGACCATTTCTTGTTTCTGTTTTACCTTTCTATAAAATCATAAATTATTAGGGAAAATGGCTTAAATGAAGCTCTTTTCAAGTACTGCCAGCTACTTTCTAAAATTTGGAATTTTTTTTCCCATTTCCTGAAGCTCTAAGTAAGCTCTTTGCTGTGGAGAGGAAGGCTTAAAGTCTGTATTGGTAGGGCAATACCTGGGACATTTATTTTGGATTTTCAAACCAAGGCGTAGAGTAGCATTGTAAAAATGTAACAAAAGCCATAAAATATCTATAAAGTGTATGTAAAAATACAAATTTAAGTTTCTTCTCAATTAGCAGCTTCGTCACTTACTCTAAAAGCTCGGTCAACTGAACCAGACAGTACTTTTGGAGGGAAAAACTGGACAAAGGAACCAAAGGGATACTTACTCCTGCTTCCTGCACACTCCTGAGCAAACAACTGGACAATTACCATCTATTAAAGACTAGCCTAGCTGCAGATCTCAGGCTTCAAACTCTTAGTTTTCCAAGGACTTAAGAGTCAAGCGTTTCCTCCAAGCCTGAATTCTTTGTTTCTCTGGTCAGAAATTCATTGCATCTTGCTAAAGTGAGTACAGGGCTTGAAAGGGGGAAAAACAAAACAAAAGCACATCAGTTTCATCAAGAAAGGGAAATTATGAGCCAGCAAAATAACCATGATTTTTGGCCTCAAGTTGAAAAAAACCACTTCAAAAAAAAGCAAACCTTTTCTCATAATGAGTATAACCATGGTAGCTTTAGCTGTGCTCTTAAAAAAGACTGAGGATACAAATTATAACTTTAATAATTCCAGTAACTTAAGTCTGTATTGGTTTCATAAAAATGAACTGGTGAGGTGCTTGGTGGAAGTAAATTACCGTTTTTATTTCCTGGGAACTGAAAGATAACTTAAGTATACATAATTTGATATTTTTAGTTAGTTCAGCTGTCAATTACCACAAGCCCAGTTGTTAGTCTCAGATCCACTTCACCTCACTCAAGGCCACAAAAGAGTTACCTCTATATACATAAAATGAAAGGCAGAAAAGGAAATTGAAGAACCTCACAGAAATTTAATACCTTCCATCTTATTTTTTACTATTTATTTTTAGCCAGGCCAAAGCAAATTCTTAGAATGTCAATATTGGTTTCTGAACCTCTTAAGATCATATCTATACACAGATGAGCTTTTTGAATATCATAGTATAAGAGGATTACATTATTTGGGGTTTGTTTAAACTACATTATTACCTGTTATTTTGCCTGCTATGCTCTTCCTTTCCACTCAGTAAAAATTCAGTTTAGCTTGCAACCTAAAAATCCTAAATATAAAGAATGTTCACATTTACTTGTAAATTACCATTTATAGTAATTGGTTGCTTCATATAATACAAATACTTAATACAATTCAGCAGGTATTTATTGAACTCTAAAGATTTTTAACAAACATAAAACCTTGTTGGTTTTAGTAATTTTCTTTTATATTTCAAATATAATATCTGTTTAATATCCAAAACAGGAAAGTCAAATCAGCTTTAAAAATATTTTTTGCTGAATTTGCAAATGATATTTGTCACCTTTTATAATTATAATCTACAGACATATACTACAAAACTATGATATTTCTTTTGTTATCTGATAGTTTTCCTTTGCTATATTAAAGGCAGGCACACTCAGCATTAAAACTGCATTGTAATGGAAATACGTACACATTGGACACCCTTGTGTGAAAAAAGTATTTTTTAAAACCGAGTTGTTATAATAAATGTATGTATTTCATTGTAGTTTGATGCCTAGTCTTCATAATTGGGCTAAGAAAACTGCCATTTATTAAGGTAATTTTTCCTTCATTTCGCAAATCAAACTGCTTTTATATGGGGTGGGCAAAAGTAGGGTTATAGTTTATATGGTAAAAGACATGCAAGTTATGATATAGCTTTATTAACTCAAAAGAATGTCACAATGGCACAGTAAACCTACTTTTGCCCACCTCTGTATTTACTCAAAAACATGATTCTGAGCCAGGGATGCGCATCAGAATCACCTGTAGAGTGACAGATCTACCTTGGCCTAGATGGGCCAAGGGACCCAGGAATCTCTCTTTAACTTTAAACGAGCATTAGGGATAATTTTATATAACCTGTACCCCCTTCCCATTAAGAAACATGCCCTAATATATTCTAATATAAAATTTTTAAGCTTTATTAGGATGTACTTCTTTTAAGTTTGGTAATTTGACATGTCAGTAGTATGTTTATTAGGGGCCACAAGTTGTAAGCAATGGGCATTATGCATTTTAATATGAATTATTGTTCAAATTAAGGAAAAAAGATCAGATATTCACCATTACCACTCTGCACAGTAACAGCAAACACTTCTATAGTGCTTACCATATGCTGGGTACTGTACTAAGCACTTTATACATATGAACTTACTCATCCTTACAACTTAATCAAACAGGAATTATTCTCATTCTATAGCTGAAAACTGAAGGAAAGAGGAATTATACACACAGGTAATAGCAGTCTGGCTTGAGTCTTTGCTCTTCTAATATGGTCTTTCTACATGTTATTTAAAAAGCATGTTATCTGTGACTAATATTAAAATTTTAAATTTTGTTTGCTTATTTTTGGGGTGTTAGGACTGTCTTTTCCTTGAACTGTTCAATAACAAAGTCAAATGTCAAGTTTTGAAAAGATGCATGCAACCATAGCTACTTGGGGGCCCTAAATGACTAAGGACACAATCTGTCAGTTACTGAGCTTGTCAAGTCCTTCTTAACAGGAAACTGTACAGCAAATTTTATAACAAAGCTTCATAAGACCAATTTATATTTGGTTTCAGAATATTGAGAGCTTCACCACCATCATTTGTAAGATGCTACTGGTATCATGAGATGCTTTTCATTAAGCATCTTCTCAGCTTTAACATGACACAAGACAGGTAACTCCTCAAGCGTCCTAACTTTCAGTTCAGTCTAGAGACACTGCCGCCATCCTGACACTTAGGACTTTTCAGAGCCACAGCTGTCTTTGACAAGGGCTCCTGATCTCATGCTATATACGTCTACTTAAAAAAATATGTTTTATAGAATATGGTCACCTTTACTCCTTCTCTCTCCTCCTACTGCAAAGCCCTTCAGAAAAATTAATGTGCAGAAAGGAAGGCCCATACGGTCAAACAAGGCACAAACCTCAACACGAGTCTTGCCTACACAAACACCAGGTAAGTGACAAACATGCCAAGGTAATCTCACCAAAAACCATTTGGTGTGGTTACTCAATTATACCAAATGTCTGTCCTGTGCTTGTAATTCAAAGGGTTCCATTGCAGGCCTTCAAGGATACTGTTGATTAGTACATTACAACCAGTAACAAGAGCATTTGTATAATTTATAAGTTTTTCAAGCTAAGTGGCCCTTTTTCTACTGTAATTTGTACCTCATACTTAAAAAAATATTTCACCTTTCTATCCTACGTGCTCTCTACCCAGTGGTCAAAAATTAAAGGTGGAAACTAATATCCTGGGTTGGGAGGTGGGAAGGGCAAGGTGAAAAATTACACCTCTCACCACTATCCTCCTAAAAGTTTGACTTTACCAAAAAATTTAAAACTCATGAAATAAAAAATTTTCCCCTTACACCAAAAATTTACAGACAACTCTACAAAGCACAAGTCCTTAAAATAAAATTGGTTTGCCCTTTAGAATTGAATTTCTTATGTCTAATGGAAGGGGAGTACATAAGGATTTATCGAAATCTTTATACTTATTCTCTTCTGCGGAAATGATGTATGCAAGTACAGTGAGGCTTAATCATTATCAATGCTGGCAGCTAAGACTTTGCCTTTCTGATAACACACCCTGGAGATTTTAAAAACACTTTATTTAATAAAAATTAAACATACAAAAACTGAAATTAACACATCCAAAAAATCACCGTCTTCCATTAACAGGAAGACACTTTTCTATGCATATACTTGGCTTAAACTCAACGCAGGATAACTATGTTTACTTACACCAGCAAATGCTGACAACTTGATCTAGTTAACAAAAAATTACAAACTCAGCTACATGAACATAATATACAAGGAAATTATGGTCAGATTAATGCACAAGAAATACAGCAAATTTTTAATGATGAAACATTCAGTACTCTTGTTCATTAATTTAGCCTTGTTTTTTTTTTGTTTTTTTACAAAAATAGTATCTACACTGTATACAGGGCTATACATCAGCTTTTTGTTTTCTCATATAAACATTTCACATCCAAAAAAAATGGTACCACTACCATAAGTGAAAAACCAACAGGAAAAAAGCAAACGTACAAAAAAAAAAAACCAAAAAAAAAAACCCCAAAACATTAGAAAAGGTAGCTGGTCCTAAAACATGGTTTCTTACATAAAACTAAAACTCAATGAAAGTAACAGCTGGATACATTTTAGAGATGGCCTAACAGGCTTAGGAAACAAGTTATTGAAGGAAAAACCTCAAAATGGCCTTTGTCATTTATAAATTAACCTATTTTTAGGCTTAACTGGCCAACAACTAAGTTTAAGTGGAAGATAAAGAAAAAAATTTAAAAGATCTCTAGAAGTTTGGGGTTTTGCCTTGATGCTCCAGTGAATTGCTAGAATATGTGGGAAGTTCAAAGGTTCTCAAAGTTCCAGGTTAGAACTTTACAAAAAGTATGGGCCTGATATTAGAAGATCGACAATTCATCTTTTAAGTGCTTTATTTAAGCAGCCATCTATCTAGAAAAGTTGCTTTACCCAACAAACTTTGAGGAAACTGGTGTAGTAATGAAGCAAGTTAAATGAATAGCAGTTATCAAAGCAATTTCTTCAAGTTTCATTCTATTGAAGGCAAACAATGACGACAATGGTATCTTCCTTACTCATCTAACAAATAATTTACCTTTAGAAAAATATAAGGATAAAAAGGTAAATGTAAAGCCCTGCAGAGATGAAATCCAACAGTTTTTCTGATTATTGAGGCATCAAATGCCTGACATTATATTTAGAGGTATCTTGATACTGTGTCATAGGTTTGTCAGCAATTCCACAAGTTCCTACTCCAACTTTGCCAGTTACACTCTCAGGTGAAGCAAAAATACTCCTCTTTACCTAGGGGAAATGAAACAGAAACCGTTCTTGATTAGCTTTGGAAACAAAAGTTACCGAATACACTTAGAAGGAAAAGTACATCAAGGGAACCTGAGCGTTCTATTAAATAAAATCTACCAGTGATATCCAGCATAAGGCATGTTAACAAAGCAAGTGTGGTTCAATACAACATTCCCTTCTAAGTGATAAAATTTTCAAACGTTAGTTTACAGAAGGAAAAAACCTAGATCTTTTATAATTCCTGATATAAACACTCATTCATAGTGCTTCTAATTGCAGAGATAGTGGCTAATGAAAATTTTTTTCAATAAGCCAAACTGAAGATTGAAGAGGATTCTAAATTTAAGATCCAGCTATTTATTTTTAAAAATGTATACCTCCTTTTTCATTTTACTGTTACTTTAATGACAGTTGCACTTTTCAAATTTACGAAGTGTGATACAAGGATTTACTAACCTGGCCTTTTTTGTTTTTAGAATAGGCCCTGTTGTTGAACTGTTGCCATTTCACTTTCTGGTCCTCTCTCTCCTGCTCAAGTTCTTTTATTCTTTGTGCTTTTTTCAAAGCTTTCTTCTTTTTGTATTCACGCTGCTGGGCAATCATTTCTTTTCTGTGTGGATATAACAACTAAATGTCAACTCTTAAGATTTAAAAGATGATTTCCTTGGGGATATTTAGCAGTGCAAAAAAAAAAGAAAAACTAATAAACTGACAGTCTTTTCCCAGGAATACCATTAATGCCAATCACCTAGTGCTACTACTGAATGTTATTTGAAATATATAGCATCCTTGAAAACTTTCAAATGTAACAGTAATCTATTATCCATTTAAGTCAAACATTTCACCTGTGACTTTTTATTTGATGTTTACATAGCTTTTACCAGTTGTTTTAGGAATAAGATGAGTGTCAACAAACGTCTAAACCTATCAATTTCTAAAGGGACCGTTAACAATTGTAATATGCTGCATTTGGAAAAAGTGTCTGAAGAGATTAGATGAATACGAAACTCTATTTCATTTAGATTGGAAGAGCATACCACAAAGGGAAATCAGAGGTAACTATTCTTAACACAAAAACTGGAGTTTTTCAAAAACAAGCCTAAAGTTCTCACAGTAAGTTCTCAGTTAACAGTGACTTCTCACCAAGAAAGGAGGAAGAAAGAGGGGATTAAAACAGGCAGTAAGAGCGAGGCTCCTTTGTTTCATATAATTACCACTAGGAAGCTAAATGCAGCTTTTTACAGAGACATCAAAAACTAATAGAGATGTTATGTTGTTCTACAATCTGATTTTCTTATTGGAATGCTTAAATCAAATGTCACTTTAATAGATGACAATTTTCTTAAATTCAAATATATTTATGTCGCAACTTAAGTTTTGAAAACTCTCTGACAAATCCGAGAGAGCAAATTGTAGCAAACATGCAGAAGTTAACCAAAATATTAATTCTGCCTCTTAAATACCTGTCAAACTGTATACTTCACATCTTCACTGTACTACGTGGGTTCAGGCCACCACCTACACCTGGATCACAACAGTAGCAGCCTTCTCTCTGCTGCCAGTGATCATTGGAAAGCTCAAATTTGATCACACTGTATCTCCTCTACTTCAAATGCATCAGCAACGCATCAGTGCTTTCAAGTTATGATCCTGTCTAACCACGTCTGTCAACTCACCCACCCTCAAGCCTCAAGTTTTTACCACAGGAATTTCTTGGTTACCTCTATGTTGTAACCTTACTGTCCTTTTTAAAAGTAAACATTTACTAAGCTCTTACTACATGTCAAGCATAATGCTACATGCTACATTAATACTATCATTTAAAATTCACAACCCCATAATGCAGATACTATTGTCCCTGTTTTACACATGAGGAAACAGACAATAAGCAGGTTGCTCAAAGTCATACCTTCTAGTGCATTAGCTGGCTAACTCCTTTTATTTTCAGATCTCTCAAGTTTCAATGTCATTTTCTCGGAAGAAATTTGCTCTAAGACTAAGTACAGCTTAGGTACTTTTTCTTTGTTCCCTTAAAGTACCCATTACGTTTCCTTCATAAGTTCTATACTTTATTATTAAAGTTCTTTAATTATGTACTTTGTTGTCTAGACTATAAACTCAGTCAGGACAAGGCCCCAGATGGTCATCTTCATTGTTGTGAAGCATTTGGGTTAGTGATAGTATACATCGTATCCACTTAATAAATACTTATTAAATGCCTAAATGGGAACCCAAATGTTCTAACCTTACCTAGGCATACAAATACAGAGGATGATAGTATTATAACCTTCTTACCCTAAACTAGCCTGCACAGATTCTGCAGACCACCTCAAATACCCAAATGGGGACGATCACACTTAAAATGCCAAAAGGTCACTTACTTGGACATGGGTTTGCTGCCACTGTCCTCCTTTGCCTTCCTTCCTTCTTCTACAGGCTTGAGGTTCAACAGTGGAGTCACTTCAGCATTGCCATAGCCAGCAAAGGTGATTGCAGCGGTGCCATTTTCTTCATCTATCTCCTCAATCTCCGCTTCGTAACACCTGTAAAGATATCATGGCTGTAAGCAGGTGAGTAAAGGTTTAGTACTCAGCCTACAAGACTTATACTGCAGTGATTCAACTATTACATGTGTCTAAAATCAAAGTTCTGTAATCAAATGGCCCTTTGGCAAAGATAATGCAAGAGTGGAGTTGGCCATCTGTTATCCTAAAAGGAAGTCCTAGTCAGTATTTGTCAGGAAAGTCTCTTACATGTTTACTAAATGTACTTTAGTCAATCTCTTTGAGAAAAGATATTTCTTGTAAGAATAATTTCAGTGTATGTACTTCATAGACATCTAAGACAGCCAAATCAATTTTCAATTTGAGGAAAAAAGAATTCTATTAATTTTCCTCTGCTTTTAAGTTTTTTCCCTCTAGGATCCTAGCCATTCTTCTGCCCCAAAACTTAATCCAAAGCTAAACACTAAACTGTATTAAAGGTAACTATCCAAGAAACAAATTGGACCTATTAACTACATAGGCTATATAGAAAGATTAAAATAGGGTACTTCAAACTGAATAAAAACATCTTACCATTGTACTTTATTATTTCATGTTATAGTTAGTTTTTTTCTACACTTACTGTCCATCTTCACTCCAGATTGCCATACACTTGTCCCCTACTTTCCATGAATGAGTGGGCTGAGTAGAAGCAAAACAGTCTGAACTTGCAAGAGTTTCTGAAGGTTGAGTTGACAGAAGGTCTTTGGTTAGTTCTATAACTTCCTAAAAAGGAAAAACAAAAACCGTAACATTATTTTTATAATTCACATTGTCACCTATTTTCAGCAAGTTCTTTCATTTTTTGATGACGACAGCTCTCTCACCACATAGCACTTAAGTACTCTACACATTTATTTGCAGTTCCTAACAATATTATGATGTAGGTACTGTGATTATCCCCATGTAGAAATTGAGATCCAATATACAGTGGGTGGTGGAGCTGGGATTTAAACCCAGACAGATGCCTTTCAACTTAACCTCAAAAACTAATAGAAATAGGGTAGACTTGAGCTTATACCATGCATTATTTCTGTCAATTTTAGCTGAACAGACCTCTGTCAAGATGAGAAATAGTCAATTATGAAGGACTGAGCTAGATTCAAGATCACTTTTATCTCATACCATCGTTATGTGTTTTCATATAACTGTACTATTTTATAGGGCATCACAGTACTCTTAACTGCCTAGCCAGCATGCCCCCCACACACCCATAACCACAAAATAATGAAGCAGCCTTATTACTGTAGTAATGAAAATGTTTCTGTTCATACATATTTCTACTAAAATTCGGTAGGCATATATAAAAAGCCATTAGTCTTCCTATTTGTTTATTATAAAGCTTACCTCATCTGGGTAAGCAAGTTACCAGGTTAGATTGAAAAAAATCCCAATACCTTAATGTTAAGCACATTAACATAGCTTCATTTAAAGGGAAAAAAGTAAATGTTAACACACACAGGCAATCAATATCTTTCTGTGTGGCAAATATTTTTTGTAATTCAGGCTTATACTTTTTGGCTTCCTTCGAAAGTATTTGGTAGGACTGGTTAGAAAACTTAATAGTATAGATAGATTTGCTACCTATCTGCTAGAGTTTTACTCTAATGATGACCCATGTTATGCATCATCTTATCTGATTTAAGAATCCGCATAAATTCTTAAATTTCCCCCACTACTGTATACAAAATGTCTTAAAACATCACATTATATATTTGGGGAGAAAAATTACCAAGTTAAACTCTGTACTGAGTTTCTTCTGGCTCCCACTGAGGTTTTATAAATAGTAGTACTGGTTCAGTAGCCAAGAAAAGTTAAATATTACCTCTTGCCTAAGATTCTAAATCTTCCTGGCTGTTTCTGAAAAACTAGTATTTGAGCCTTAAAAAGGAGGGAATGTTAAGTTCTTGGAGAAAGGTCTGTTTTGTGAATTAAAAAATTTTGTGAATAAAAAAAAATAGAAAACACAGATTTGAGTTAAAAATTCAGCACAGTATCTTTAATGCAGTTTTATTAGGTGCCAAGTAGCCATTCAAATACCTTTTAATTAGATGAACCTTTGCTAATAAAGCAAAGAACTTCCAAATAAATGTATCATGTACTATACAAAGGAGAGTAAAAATTATCCAGTCTTGTTTTTAATAAACCACTTTTAGGGCCAGGAATGTAATCTAATATAAGCCTGACTCAAGAGCCCATACAACCTCTATCATTAAATAATTCCATCTAACTAGGGATCATTTACCTACTAAAGCACTAACATGAAGTCTACATTTGTAGGTTGCAGACTTAGAACTCTACTGCTCTTAGGATAGAATACCTTCCTACTCTGTTTTCATAAGGAAATACATTTTCACCAAAGTAAAGGGTCCTGAAAAGCTATACACATTATGAAGAATTTTCAGAGCCCTGCACTGAAATGACTTTTTAAAAAAATCCACAGCATCTAGCCCTAGTTGTCCTTTTACTTTGCCATATTTTACATACCCCGCCCAACAAACTATGAAGACCCTTCAGAATTTTTTCCTTCACATGTGCATATGGACCAAAGTAGTAGAGAAACTATTTTATGTATGAGGGGGTTCTTAAAGGTACATACCATTAATTACTTTTCCTCCCCCAAGTCTGAGTTCTGAAACTGCTCCTTCATTGACAGATGGGCAGCAGTTACAGTAATCGGCAATTCCAGGAAGCATCAGATGTTGTGATCTACATATCAGCAGGTCAAAGGGGATGCACTCAAGCACTCTGCTTACTGAAGGAAGGCGTTTCGGGGATGCAGAGAGCCACTGTAATATATGAGACAAGTGACTTGACCCCTGCCTCCTTTAGAACCAGTTTTATTCAGCAAAACAGCTTAATAAATTGACTATTTTTGTGATTATCATAGACTGCCTGGGGAGCTAGTCAGCTAGCTAGCCTGGATTTTACTATACCCACTTTTTTTAAGTGAAAAAAGGCAATTAGAACTTCAGTAGATCAATCTGCTGCCTGCTGAGTAACTTTATTCTATAGGAAAGACAGTATATAAAGAGATAAAAATGGAAGCCTTACTGGCAAAATGGAAGTCATTGAAAAAATGCAGAAAGAGTATTTGTCATAAATGAAAGAGCAAACAAATTCTTAACCAGAATAAGGACATCCCATGAGAAGAACACAAGAAAACAAAGGAGGCCACAAAGTCAGTCAGTCTGAACAGACTTTTCAGCAAACATAAAAGGCAATATTAAATATCAATGACCTGAGGTGTATCCTAGAAAGCAGAGAAGAAAAAAGTAAATAACTTTAAACCCATGCTAAATAGAAGCTGCAACTGCAGTCAATGGAGACAATTACTAGGTAGAAGCAGATATCCAAACACTTTCCAGAATTTTATAATGCCTTCCATCTTTCAGTAGTTTTTAGTTCAAAACAGACCTAAATCTAGTAACCAAAATGATTATTTTTTTTCATGGTATATTAAGAGAAAAAGAAACTGATTAAGTTTGGTCAGGAAAAATATTCTGTATTATTACTACCTAAAGTGCTAAAACTTAAGCTTCTAAATCTATGCCATCAAATAAGGTAGTCATATGGGGCTGTTTAAGAAAATTAAAAATTCATATTTTCAGCCACCCTAGCCATATTTCAAATATTCAATAGTCACATGTGCCTAGTGACTACAGTACTGCACAGCAGATGTAGAACATTTCCATCATTACAGAAAGTTCTATTGTACAGTGCAGTCCTAAATGGTTATGGAAAAGATTGTTTTATAGATAAACGACCCCCAGGGCATTATTAACTGAATCCTAAGTAAGTAAGCCATTTACATGCTTACTATAAGGCCTACCACAACTGGTCTCTCTCCCTACAGTACTTCCACTATAGATCAGGTCATTATAAGGAGATTCTGCCCAGGCTTTAACAATTCTAGAAATATTAAAAAGACCACACAATCATGCTGTTTCAACTTTCACTCCCAACTTCCCTTGGACCAGCTCCACATGGACCCTTTCTCCCAATTCCCAGGAGGCCAATACACACAACACTGCACACAATGTTTCATTTTCTTCAAAGAAAAAAAGGACTGCTTTTAAACTGGAAAAAGATGATGGGGCATGCCAGGATCTCTGAGGCAAGAAAGTTGGCCTGAGAGTGGGAAAAATTGCTCCCCAGGCATCTCTTCCTTATTGATTTGCACCCTGATATATATTGCCCTGACTTCTATATATTGAAAAAGGGTCCTGTTTTCTGTGTTTTTAAAAATAACACACCATCACAACTTCATGAGTTTATCCTAAATCTAGAATTTGAACCTGAAAATATTCTACATCTTTATTATGCCCAGATAAGCTCTTTCAGAATCCTGAATCTGGACTCTACGTAAGATAATTTTTATTTGTTTGCAGTTCTAATATCCTTAAAATATTAACAACTTTGACGGGCAAAAGATGATAAAGAGAAGGAAAGGATTACTTAAGACAAAGATGATTCAAGTTCTGAACTGAATCAATAAAGACCATCTAATCAAAACACCTTTTAAAACTTTCCAAAACATCAGGTTCAAAATTTTAAGTTCTCAAATTTGTTAAGATGAAAAGTCATGTATATTTACAAATCTTACACGTGAAGTTTTTATTAATCAACCAAGTGTTCTGAGAAATAACAGATATTTTACTACTATGACTTTGTCTTGAAATGTCCCTGCCCAGTGCAGGTAGGTCTTTAAAAGCGGGTGTCATACACATGACAAACAAAAGGATATTCCTTTCACATAGATGCAATTTAACTTCAAGTGTCAACAACTACACTGTAAAACCTACCCTTAAGTTCAAATATTATGTAACATTTATGCAGAAAACAAGTATCTTTTAGATACTTTTATAATGTGTTTTCAATACAAGGTGTTACCTGCTAGCTTTGACACACACAAACACACACAAAGAATCCTGTGGCATTAAAAAGAATCTTAATCAGGTTTCATTTTTCTCCTTTAATTTTAGTTACTTTTTGAACTACATTTCCTTTGCCAGGCCTTTAAATGTAAAAACATGTTCCACTGTAAAGCAGTATGCATCTCTTCTCTAGCAAGTCTGACGGACTTCTAAAATCAACTTTTTTTTTTCATTATAAGAGCATACAAGATTTACATAACAAAGGACGTTTCACTCGTGTATGCAAACTGAGGAAAACAACCCTACATCTACAAACCTATGCAAATATACACAAAGGGAGGGGGTAAACACCACCTCCAAGGGGAGCTTTGGACATCTAAAGATTCTAAGCAATAAATCACTTGAAAAACACAGAACTACTCTTTTTGAACAATGTAACTGTAAGTGTCCCCTCATACTTACTTGTAAATCTTTCTTTAATTTTAGCAAATCTTCATTTTCTCCATTTCCAGACAGTGCAGCTTCAACTTGCTGGAGTTGAGCTTTGTAGCTTGCCAGCTGTTTTGCTAGATCCTCTGACATCTGGAGGGGGAAAAGGGGAAGGCCATGAAAACTGAACTTAAAAAAAACATTTAATTCCCTGTCTGCCTGAAATAACCTTACCAATTTTGCTCCCAACTCATTGTAATTCATTGCAGCTTAGTTTATCACCATCACCTCTACTCTTAGTTCAGAGAAAAGTTGCTAAGAGGAAAAAAATAATTTCTAATTTTCTTTAAACTCCTGTAATAAGGACAGCACCGTGTTGGGGTCATTTAAAAGGGTTGTTATATCTTCATTCCACCCCCCCCCCCAAAAAAAAACACACACACCACTGTATCTGTTGGAAGAGAGCAGACTTCTAAAAAAATATTTATAAGCACTAAAAAATACTTCCAAAACCAAATACTGATGGCGTTTGGATTAACTACACAAATAACTACACTTAGAAGCTTTTCTCCGAGCAGAAATCTTTCGCCCAGTCACTCAAACAGCGCGGTGTACATCCGTCAGTAAAAGAAACAGCCCAGACCCTCCCCCATTGAGGCATTCTAAGGAACGTGCCCTTCACCAAACCCTTCTTCCTCTCCCGAAAATAAGATACGATTTATAGGCAAACACACGGGGTTTCAGAGGACCCCTCTCCGCCTCAGTTCCCGTCCAACGACAGCCTGGGATCTGGAAGGGCTCCGAGAGGGTGAGAGAGCCGGGCTGCTCTCCTCCCACCACCGCGACCTCGGAGCCCGCCACAACTTAGCCGGTTATTTCAGACCTTGAAATTCAAACATCAGCTCCCAGGGAAACCGAGCGGGCCCGCGGCGCCGGGACCCCACACTCCCAAACAGGCTCCGCCCGGAACGGCCGAGGTTGTCCTTCAGAGGCCTCCCACGTCCCAACCCCACCCGACGGGTTCCCCGGGGCGGCCGGGTTTCCGGCCACGGCCGAGGCCCGCACCCCGGCCGGGCCCGGTCAGGGCTCAACTGTGGGCGGGAGGGGAGGCCCGGGCTCCTAACACTGTGGCCGGCGCCCGGGCCTCTCCAGCGCGGCCGGCTGCTCGGCCTCNCGGCCCGGCGAGGCCTTACTTCCTTCCTCACCGGGTTTGTTACCTTGTGTGGGGTTAGGGGCGGGGCGGCGGGAAGGGGTCCGGGCAAATGAGCCCAGGGGTGGCGGCGGCAACAGCGGCGGCGGCGGCAGCAGCGGCAAGAAAAATCTCCCCGGCGACAACAAGGCGACTCGTCTGAAAAGAACTCGGTCGGCGGTGAGGGGGGAGGGGACGAAAGCCGGGCACTGGGAGGAGGAAAAGACAGAGGCGAGTGAAGTTTCGCGAGAGTTAAAAACCCTCGCGAGACGCCGCTCGAATCACGTGACTCGTAGCGCCCACTGGACCGACCGCCTGAACTCGCGTTAGGAACACACGGAGTGGGCGGGCTTTCGTCGAAAGGAAATGGCGTCGCTGGGCTGCGCCGGGCGCCCAGCGCAGGTCGTCTTCCCAGTTCCGGCCGGGAGTGGGGGAGTCGTGGGGGTCCGTTGGGACTGGGTGTTGTCGAGCCATTCCTGAGGGGCCCAGGGGCGTACTCGCGCGTACCCGCTTAGGCCAGCAGTGCCGGGAGATGGGAGTAACGGGGTTTAATGCAGCGTTCGCGCTAGTAGTTGGTTCTCAAAGTGCGGCCCCCTTACCGGCAGCGTCCACGCCGCCTGGTAGTGTATTTACAGATGCGAGTTTTCCACACCCCCCACGAGTGCATCGGAAACTGGGACGGGTTCCGCAGCCTGTTTCAACGAGCCCTCCGGGTGAAGCCATGTCCCCTCAAGTCTGAGAACCACCGCTTCTTATAATAACAAAAACCTTAGCAGTAACAACAAAAAACTAATTGTGGCAGAACCTGTTGGAGATTGGTTTAAAAATCAATTTTGTTAGAACCTACGTGGTTTAAGTGAACTGTATCGGTCAGTCTCGCTCGATAAGTAGCACTCTCCAGGTCACACTCTCGAGTGACAAACGGTGTGATTACTTCCGTGTATATTTGAAAAGAAATGCGCGTTAGGCGTGCATGTTTCTAATAGTATATATTGGGTTACTTCTGAAGGGACACCCAAACCTACCTGGAGATTTGGGGTGGAAGCCGAATGTTCTCACTGATTACTTTTTTTTACGGTTTACCCTTCTTCCCATACGCATGTAGTTTTTTCCCAGTTAAACTAGTTATAAAACAGACTTGTGGCAGGAAAAGGCTGCTAGGTGGACGCCGGGCAAGAACCTTCTCTGGGAGCTGGGGGCCTGTTGCTGGAACCTCCAGAAGGCCCTCTTCTCGCGTGGACTCTCTTGGGCAGTGACGTCTTCCCCTTGTGCCTTCTTGAGTTTGTTGTTGTTGTTTTTTAAGGGACCTTCTCTTTTCTTTACTTACGCACACATACCCCTCATATTGAGTCAGATAACCTATAGAGATGGAAACCAGTTTTGTGATGACCGGAGTAGCAATGTGCAAGGATTGGAAAGGCTGCAGAGGGCAGCAGTGTGTAGCTGTAGCATTAAAGGGGACGACAAACCGGAAAGGATGAACTTTTCTTTAATATGTAGTACAAATTCATTTAAAATATAACGTAGTTTTTGAGAACTGCTCTTAATTCTAGTTGTGTGTTGTTAAAACTAACACCAGAAGGATCTTCCTTGAATATAAAGTAAACTTTACACAGTTGTGTAAAAATCTCTCAAATAAGAACTCTTCGTGAACCCTCTAGATCAGAAAATAGGAAAATATTTATTAAAAGCTCCAGTATAGGTTTCTTTATCAGACTCCAGATTGTCATCAGAATATACTATTTCACTTTTACTTATCTTCCTTTCAAAGAAAAATTTTAAATGGTTGAAGAAAAATTAAAGGATAGTAGCGGCCTTTGGAAATGTGCCAGTCCACTACAGGGCACAATAAACTAATACAGTCCATGCTGGTTAAATAGGAGGTTGCATTCTTTAATTTAGCTTTTATTGTATTCCTTCCTAAGGGTAGCCCCAGGTTTGCCCACATTCTTTCGTTCCCTTGACAAATGCCTAAGGAGAAGAATTAGAGATGTGCACATAGTCGTAGTAACTGCTTATGCCCTTTGCCCTCTTTAGTCATAATAAGTATTTTGAATGTTTGAATGGAGATTTGCTGCAGAGCAAGCTACTAGCTTTTTGTACTTACTGAGTATTTTGGGGTACATTGCATTGAAAACATATCCTGAGGTGACTCTTACATGGCATCATTCATTTAAGGTGGATGTAAAAACAGCCTTAGATGGATACTGACCAATGCAGGTGTTCATCAGTCACAGCATTCCTGATCTGTTCATGTCAGTCTACATTGCCCTGCTAGTCTCAGGATGTGCATTTCCAGCTATTCTGTTTTATGTGTACCACTAAAGAACAGAAAATGGCCACTGAAAACAGCAAGGATTCCTTCAGTTTGGAAAAGGTTATGATCGGAGGCTTTACAAGGATCAGAAATGGCAGTCGTTCAGGGTTCTTTAGGCCTATTTGAAAGTGGTGTTTCATAGCACTTTTACATATATTCTTTGTGGGGTATATTCTGAGGGCAAAAAGAACAAAACCAAAAAATGTTACAGATGTATTGCTAACAGTACTGTTGATAATGTAATTTTGAAACTTTCATGCCTAGTGTAGATAAAATATGTTAGTTAAAACTCTTAAGAGGAAAGAAAAGTAGAAAATAGTTTTTATGGGGGAAGCCCTCTGATGACCTGTGTGTGTATATATGTATATATAGATATGTGTGTGTGTATTTCCTAGATGTAATGTTATCCCAGTGGAGAGTGCCCATATCTTGGTATCTAGATACCATTCCCCACGAAGACACAACATTTCTTTGAGAAATGGTTGATTTCAGGTCTCAGGCCTGAAAAATACAAAAGTGACCTGGAACATCTTGCCAGAAAGCAAGAAAGTGCCCCAAAACTAATAAGATCAAGTCAAAAGTTCACCAACCAGCTCGAGGGGACTCCCCTTGCCAGATGTGAGCCAATATGAGTCTTAAATAATGACTGCCATATATTATCAAAGCATTGAATATATTTTTAAAATCCGTAAGTCCAGAGTGATAATCAAAATCAAAGGTGGGGGGAGGGATTTTTTTCTTTATAGAAGAATTCCAGCCAATAAATGTGGATGGAATGATAGGATTGGAAACATCACCATGTGCTGTCTCCAGTGATTTGGGCACAGGCCATCAGTAGCAATTAAAACTAATTCTGTAAAAGGAGATAGGGGGAAAGGAGGATGTTTGCAGTGTCAGAGTATATCACCCTACAGTTACTTAGTAATTACAAAGGGAGAGATACACCTTGTAATGAAGAAATTCAACAGTCACCAACTTAATCTAGTGATCACACCACCACTAATGGTGGAACAGCCTGACTTTATAGGCCTCTTGAGTTGATGCAAGGTTACATAAGGAACCTTATCAGAAATACTTAATCTGAGTACAATGGAGCCTTTTGAACCAACTTCCAGTTTACGGCAGATACAAGGATAGAGGAACAAGTAGAATGACCCTGAGGGAAAACTCAGGCAGATCCAGAATGTGGGACAGTCCATGAAAAAACTGACCTAAAGTCTTCAAAAGCCAGTGTGTCAGAAATAGTGGAAGACTGTTCTAGATTGAGACGAAAGACATCAAATGCAATGGGTAAATCTTGATTATTGAGTCTTAGTTTGGAAAAACAAAGCTATAGTAGAAATTTTGAGGACACTTTGGGAAATTTGAATATGGACTGGATATTAGGATATTGAATTATTGTTAATTTTATTAGGTGTGAAATTTATGCAGGTTACTTAAGAGAATGTCCTTTTAGGTATTTAGAGATGAAGTGCCATGACATGTATATAACATATCTTCAAATGGTTCAGCCAAAAAATTATATAAATTTGTATAGAATTCATGTGTGTATGAATATATATATTCATGTGTATGCATTATATATGTGTATAGATGGAGAGAAGATTTAAATGTGTCAAAATGTTAATCATTGTGGAAGGACTTATGTGTTCATTGTACTAGTCTTTCGACCTTTCTGTATGTTTCAAATTTCAAAATAAAATGTGGAGAAAAGTGTTCATAGACTAGCTAGAATCGTTTTGAGGGGTGATGTGTGTTTGGAGAATAGTGGGGTAAAAGCATAGTCGAGGGGAACTCTAGGAGTTAGCAGTAGTTTAACAACTCAGAAGCAATATGGAAGACTACAAAAGCCTATGTGATTGTCAGAAACAAAAGGCTGTGG